GTGACACAAAATTGTTCCTAGCTTTTCTGAGGATCACTGTGACATGTGCAGTCGCTGTGGGTGCTATTGCTTTGGGATTAGGCATGTTATCTGGTTATATTCACCTTGGACGGAAGGTTTTACTCTTTGCTGGATCCAACCTACGCCAAGGATCACATCCCTATTATTGCATCTGTCTCTGAGCATCAGCCAACGGCGTGGTCATCTTTCATGTTTGATTTCCATATACTGCTTTTCCTTTTCCCAGCTGGTCTTTATTTCTGCTTCAAGCGGTTGTCAGATGCCACTATATTTATGTCATGTATGGTCTGACAAGCATGTATTTTGCCGGTGTTATGGTTCGGTTGATCTTGTTGCTACACCTGCCGTTTGTCTTATTAGTGCTATTGCTGTTTCTGCTACTGTGAAGAACTTGACTGTGTTGTTGAGGTCGGAACAAGGGTGTCCAAACTGGTTCCACTAAGGGAAGTAGCAGCTCAAAGGCCTCTTCTAAGGTAACATCTCCCTGCCGTTCTCTCTCTTTCTCACATGCGTACACACGAGTAACACAGGCCTGCTATTCAGCATGTAGCGTAAGAATTTGTTTTGGTGCTTTTGTTTTTGGCTTTTTGCTAAAGGAGCTAATCCCAGCCTAATAAGTCACTACTTAAAACACTTTATGAATTTATTCAGTGTAAACCCAAGGAATAACGACCTTCCTTATTTTCCAAGCAGGCTTTACTCGATCAATCACAGCCTTTCCAGAAAAACGGGGCGAATGCGCTGCTCTTTGGTGCCTTTTACTTGCTTAGTAAGTACGCTACCCACTGTACATGGGTCACATCAGAAGCTTACTCGTCTCCTTCAATTGTGTTGGCGCGAGAGGTGCCCACGGGAATAGAGTTTATTTTTTATGATTATCGTGAAGCCTTTTTGGCTTCGACAAAATACTCCTCCAATGCTAAGGTGATGTCCTGGTGGGATTATGGGTATCAAATAAATGCCATGGGAAACAGAACTGTTATTGTTGACAACAACACTTGGAATAATACGCATATTGCCACGGTTGGGCGTGCAATGTCATCTTACGAAGACGAGGCAATTGAGATAATTGATCCCTCGACGTGGATTATGTATTAGTTGTCTTTGGAGGTGTTACAGGTTATTCTTCTGATGACATTAACAAGTAAGACAGGAAATTACTCTTTTTTTTTACACTACTTTTGTTTCTTAATGCTGCCACTTCATGCATCGTGTAAAAGGTGCCTTGAATGTTTCTTTTCTTCGAATCATGGAAGCTTGTTTTGATCGTATCGTAATGGTTTTCTACTGTCTCTATGCTTATGCTGTCATCATAATCTTTTGTTTTGGGTTTCCCAAGTTCCGCTTTTCTTCCGTCCTATGGGAAGTGTAATTACCGTATTCTAATTATATATTATTGGCAAATAGATTTTTGTGGATGGTGAGAATCGGAGGTGGAGTATTCCCTGTAATTAAGGAACCTGATTACCTCGTTAATGGTGAATATCGTGTAGATAAAGGCGCAGCTCCTAAAATGTTGAATTGCCTCGTGTAAGTTCTCTAAGTCATTATTCCTCTCATTTTCTATATATGATATATATATATATATGTATATGTATTCATTCTTTGGTGCTCTAATGATTTTGGATGTTGAAAATCTTTGTTTATACTTTTTTTATCTCTGTGGCCAGGTACAAGCTATGTTACTATCGGTTTGGAGAGATGCTGACAGAATATGGCAAACCTCCTGGGTAAGCACATCATTTTCAACTGATTGGTAGTAAACATGTCCACATGTATATATATAATGTTAAAAGAATCGGACCGGATGTCGACTTGTTGGTTTTGGTGTGTGTGTGTGTATATATAAATATAAATATTAATGTTTAAATCCTAATTTGATGTGAAATAAATATTAGATTTGAATGGGATGATCCTTTTATATAAAACCAAGTATAAGATCCAAGTTTATTGAACTACAACTAAGATTTTAATATTATATGCAAATAAATGCTTTTTTACCTGTTCAATCCTTGTTTATTTTATCGATTTGGTTATTGTCTGGTGCGTATATACTGGAATTGCCACTGGCTTCTGGTCCGGTTTTCTATTCCATTGGGTATATCTATTGGAGAAAGGGATGTATAATGCTAAATCTTTTGTGGACTGCATTCTATATTGCAGCTATGATCGTGCGCGAGGCATTGAAATCGGAAACAAAGACATTAAACTGGAGCACTTGGATTACGACATCGAACTGGATAGTTCGTATTTATAAGGTTAAACCACCAAATAATAGGTGGTAAGGAACTCTCTCAGCTTTCAACACTTTGCAGATCCTGAAGAAGGACAATGCTAGTTTCCCCATTTGCGGTCGAGTCTTGGAATTGTAGATTTAGCAAATCTTTTCTGCTCGAGACCCAGTTGACATTTTAGAACCCCAGTTTTGCAGATTTATGAATCAAGTTTTAACCTTTTTTTTTGGTATGGTCATTTATGCCTTTTATAAACGTGGGCATGTAAAGGCTAAACAAAGGCAGGCCATTAATGTTCCCTCTGATAATTGACATTTGATCCTCCTAATTGATCACTTGTAAATTCCACATATTTAGCCCCTCAATCTCTCAACTCTTATTTCACTCTTATTTGGGGCACTAGAGTTTAACTCTTATTTTGTCGCTCAAACTTATTTTGATCACTCTAAAGTTAAATGTTTAACAGTGTTATAACTGAATTTTTTTCATAAAAAATTATGAAATGACCTCAATTTCTCTCTCTCGTTTTTATGTAATAAAACTCATTATTTTTAATTCCCTTTAATATTTTTGGATGATGAAGTGTCTTCTTCCATATTCCAATGGTAGAGAGGTGGAGAAAAAGGAAATAAGTTGTATATATTGATTATACTCTGATCGAATGGTGCATGTAATAGATAAATGGTTTAAGATTTTATGAGTTTTGAGTTTTATGAGTTTTAAAGTAGTTTAGGTAAAAACTAAATAATAGAGTGATGAGAGACAATGAGACGAATTCGTGAATATCTTGAGTGGTTGGAAAAGATGTCGAAAAATAATAATTAAGACACCAACATGAGGCTTGTAAAATTTTCATCTTCGGAAGTAGATCAAAAAGAGAGAAAATGACGTATACGACACTTGAATTCCTATAAATAAGTGATTCACATCAACACACGTGATTGTCATGTCACATTTTCATTATGATTTGACACATTCATTGTGTTAGTATATTTACATGTTTTAATTATTCTACCATATTCCTTATAATTAATTCTAATTTATCATATATTGTAATGTATTTTAAATCTAATTTTTTTTAAGAATTAAGTCGATCGACGTTATTACTATTACATTACACGAGGACGCGAAATTGAACATGTCTGCACTTTCATTAACTTTCGAAAATCCTTTTCTACTATGAAATTAAACATGTTTTAAATCCGCTGTGTAAATGGATCTTTTTATTGAATTCATGTATTGTAATTACAGAGATAATAAGGAAAATTGTAATAAATATCAACAATAAATCAAAACTCGAAGTCATAAAATAACAATTTATACACCAAGTATATAAAGAAAAACTGTTCTATAAAAGATTATTAACAATTTTGTACTTGGTGTATAAAAGATATTAACAAACCTGATCAACTTGGGAGGGCTTCAAGCTTCAGCTGCACTACTAAGTTGTAGGCTCATTTTTATGTTCATAGCTGCCAACTCGGCGGCCAGATATCGGAAAACGTAAGGCATCGCGACCGACTCCATCCCTTTGCTTGTCCGGCAAGCATGACACATAACCTTCTTCAGAGCCCTTCCGGGGGGCAATCCGCCGATCTCTAACGACCCGTTTTTGTGTCTGGAGAATCGTGGGAGTAAGGATGCTTCCACACAGAGAACAGACATCTGCAATGTGGTAATCGGAACATGTATGGAGCCTATCATGTAATAAGTATGCAGCCCCATGAGCAAGCATAGAGTCGTTCCATCTCTCCGAAACGAATACCTCCACCACGCTTTCTTCCTTTGATCGGCTGTCGGGTAATCTGATCAACTTGTCCGGTGGCACGAACCTGATACTTGTCGGAAACCATGCCTAAGACGCTGATAATAAACAGGGCCTATAAATATCTCGCATGTTAGTTCTGCTCCATAAACCCGCTGTATAACACCTCAACTCCATGATAATTAAACCCACGGGCTCTTAACATGGAACCAAGTTCATCGACAAGAGGACCGACCCCGTTTCGGTCTTTCCATCAGCTCCCTTGACTGCATCAGAAAATGGTGTTGCATCCACAAATTTCCCATGTAAGCTTCCTCCCTGTCATGCAAAAATATAGGGTATTACAGTATTAAACACACATTTTTAGTTGTTTATCAATCTTTGCTTTTTACCATGTTTCAGTGCCACAGCATGGATTAAGCATATAGTGCATTTCCTTTGATTAACAGTTAGAATTTAGTACCTTGGCGGCAACAGATTCCATAAGCATTCCGATCGTCATTCTCGACGGAAATGCGTGAGGATTGATTATAAGATCAGGGCGAATTCCTGTAACTCCAGAGAATGGCATATCAATATCAGGCCACAGCTGAGAGCAAACACCTTCTGTCCATGTCTGCTGCTAAATTTGTCACCAATGATAGGGTTTCTTGGATGTCGGAAACGAATATTACCTACTCCAATGGAAAAGTTTAGGAGAGAGTATATATCAGCCAATGGCACCATTAGAAGCATTGATAGTATGATGGCCTTGTACAACAAAATATGAACTCAAATAACCAAAACAAGAGTTTTACATTAGCAAAAGAAAACTCAGAACCAAGGCTGCAAGTAACAAAAGATGCCATAACATAGTTATTGCTTTTCGAGCAATTGAATCTGTAGGATGTATGTTGTTAATGATTAAAAATTATTCTGAACAGATATACCTTGTAATCATACCGGACTACTAAAAAAAATGCTTTGCTTACCTTCTGAGCTGCTGCTTATTTTCGTATCAACGCAACATAGTCCACAATAGCCACTTCTGAACCCTTACGGGTGTAGGTTCTCTTTGAATTTGTCACCTGATTAATGGTACTGCAGTAAGGTTCATTTCCATGTATAACCTGAAATTGACACCAGTGAGTTGGACACAAAATAATAGCAGGAGAGTCTGAGCTTAAGCTTTTCTTATTTGAATAATGACAGGAGTAAATTACATAAAAGAATCTAACCTGCCCAATATATGGAAGTCCATCCGAATCAACAAAAGAAGATATTGCTTTATCTGAATGTTCTCTTTTAAAAATTGTTTGTCCTCGATCTGACTGGCTCTTACCATCACACAGTCGATGTTTCCGTCTACCAAAATGATCAACATCAGGATAAACAATAGTAGAAGTCACATATCAAACAAAGACAAAAGTTAAGGATTTTAATGTGAATGGTGATACTGTTGACCTTGACTGGAAATAAGGAGTAAATTGATCAATCTCATTGAAATTTGGTCTATGTTGCACGGGTACAACAATCCAACGCTATTTTAAGTATCCAGTACATCTCCGAGATGGGTATGAAACAAGTACAGTTTGTGTACGTATTGGAGATATCCCATGTTAAAGGGGAACTATTAGAATTAGTTGGGTATGTTGGAGGGATTTTTAGAGACGTATCAGGGACAGCGTTTGATTTTCACACGCTTACATTAGGTACGTTGAAGCAGATTTTGAAACCTGAGATATCAGCTGACTTATGATGAATTTTCGGATAGGATCCAAGCATTTCTGGTTTGAGATGTCTTCTTATGTATGAACTGTCTTTCATTTTCTTCTAACGAATCTTTAAAGGCCTCAATCAAATGTCAAAAAATCAAGATATACTCGTTTAACGAAGATAGTGCAAGCAAAAAACTGGATACGAATCTAATACGTAATTTTGTAGTAATTACAAAATTTAAAATTTATTTATATTTACTGTACCCTTGCCGCACCCGTACAATATAATTTTGGAAATTACCGTTTTACGTCCCGTATCTATCCCCATATCCGTATCAGTGCAACATAGGATTTGGTTCTATAAGTTAGAATACTTGCAACTAAAAGATGAGAAACAAAAGCATAAACCCTGCAGGAGGATATAAGAGATCAACCTGGTATATTTTTCCATGACACATCCCACGTTCAACAGATGACTTGTTTAAAATCATGGCATCCTCCATGTCGTATCTGCATAATACATGCAAGTTAAATTCAGGAACCTTCAACACAATGATGTTACTTCAGATACTTTTACCAAAATGCATACCCTGTGTATGCAAGCACAGCTACTATTGCATTAGTTCCTGAAGGATAATTATCCAGGCAGTATTTTGTATATGTTTTTGTGCGCACAATTGGAGTTTGAGGAGTCTGAAAACAGCCCAGAAAATTTGTAAATGAAAAGCACAAAATCATGTACAAGTCCCAGATAGGAACAAAGAATGGAAGTGGAAGGACCTGAAGGTGATACAGCTTTTGATCTGCCCGTGAATGAAGTGCTTAAGAGAAAGCCATTGTTTGTTTTGCCATCTACAAATACAAAATGTAGTGGAGAGTAATACAATGTCTTTAACTCTTAATGACAAAATTACCTTCAACAATCTTTGCACCAATGGTTACTTTGACCTCTCTTCTTCTTTTAGAATATTTTAACTCTTAATGTTTTAAATTTTAGTCAAAATACCTCTTAGAAGGAAATCGTTAGTTGACTAATGGTTAAAAGGTGTTGCTGACGTAATATTTTCACATGTACTTAATTGTTTATATGGTATGTCATGTTATTATTATAGGTGACATGGCACGTGTCACATCATCACTATAGGTGACATGACATCAATAATTGTTTCCTTTTAAAAAAGGTATTTTAACCAAAAAATTGAAATGTTATAAGTTAAAACGCTCTAAAAAAATTAAGAGTTAAAGTAACCACTTGTACACGTTGAAATGTAATTTTATCCTTATGTTTTAGGAACATGGTAAAAAACCTGGCATGGTACATGTTACGTGGACTTTGATTATGGTCCGACCAAGGTGTAAGATTAGCAACCACACTAAGCATGCAGTTGGCATGAGTTCTTCATGAGTTGCAGGAAAAGTAGTACTCTTCCTCCATCCCCACCATCAGCATTTTATTTCCATGAAAACCTACAAAACAGAACTCATGTCTTCTTAACTTAAAATTCATAAATTAATGATAAAGATCTAAAAGCCAGAAGAGAGGTGTATTCACCTGTTCAATGGCCCAATAAGTTCAATATCCTTTCCATCTGCAGAAGGGCTAGAAATATTTCTGACTGGCCGAATAAATCGTGATGGAGAAGTGAAAACAGGTACAAACCAGGATATGTTCCACCCAAGCTCAAGGAACATACCCCACTTCCAAGTCATCAGGAATCTGATATACAATATAAATTTTTTTAAATGAATTCCATAAAAAATGAATTCCGCAATGAAAACTAGAATAAAGGGTCCGTTCGTTTGTTTAATTAAAGTTAAACGAATAACATGAACATATCATTCATTCGTGCAATTCAATTACATTCCTTTAAGAACACACCTTGCACCAGCTGACACTTTCCGTTTCCGCAAATTTGCAAACAACTTGATCAGCTTTACCAGATGATAAAGAGCCAATAACACAACCTCTAAAAGAACAGGAAGAGCTTGAGGAGGGCAGCATGATCAACTTTTGGCAATGAAGGTATCATTCCTTCCTCTACTAGAACAACAAAGATAGCCCTTCTTATTTCAAAAAATTCTAGTATTTCCCTGTGTGTCGTAGTAGGATGTAATTCCTGAATTAACCAAGAAATTACAAGTCAAATACATAAGAATAAACATATCTAGAGGTTAGCAATTTGCTGATAAGAAGTAAAAAAAACACAAGCATGTATATTTTGTTCCTTTTCCTTTAAGGCTAGAAAAGAAAGGAAAAATGATTCACCATGAAAGTAGAACCCAAATTAACCAACACTTTTCAATATTTGTTAATTGAAAGTTAGACCTTTACAAATTCTTAACCATTTGACAATAAACGCTTAAAATCCTATAGATGTTGTACTCGAACCTGAGACCTTTGAGGATAACAACCATCCCTTTAATCACTGAGGTCTCTTGGTTCGTGCAAAAACAAGAAAGAACAATCACAAAAATGGGGCTAACAATGACAAGAATAAGCTAAAACATCTAGTGAATCCTTCCATTCGAACTTACGGCAAGTACATGTCATGTGGTTAAGCAACCACAAGGCTCACCATCAGGAGTGCACCGGGCAAAGAAATCCCCAAGATCTATAAATCAAAAGATTAAAAGAAAAAAGTCCATGAATAAATATTTTAAAGTAAACAGAAACAAAGAGCTGACTATGTGGCAGCAGATACATACTCAGGTAGCAACTTCCGAACACTGGTCGTACGAAGTCCGGCAAACGAGCCCCGCGATGAACAGACCGGAAAAAATGAAATGAATCGATGGTAGTTAAGCCTCTCTGCCTGAACCGTGAAACCAGCTCTCTAATGAAAAAAAAAGAAGTTCATTAATAATTTTCTAACCTTTATGAGTGCACTCTACAAAGCTTTAGGCACAGATAATTCAAAGTTAGAGATAAATGTACGAGTGAAAGAGCTGACCTGCTGTAAATCTAAACCTGATTGTGTTATCAATCTTCCAGTTTCAACAAATTCTCAATTGCTGCACTAATTTGCTTCGGAGAATTTCTTTCCATCAGCTTCTTGACATCTTTCACTGCACCATTTCACAACCAATACGAGTAAAATATCAATCCACAAGAAGAAAAGATGTCATTAACAGATATGAACAGTGCTGGCAATTTTTTTTTATTAGTATGGAATGATTACAAGATAGTATGTTGGAAAGACTTTTAACTATTTGACAATGAATGCTCACACACCCTTGTAGACGTGATGCTCGAACCCATAAACTTCTAAGAATAACAATCATCCCTATAAACACAGATCGCTTGGTTCGTACGTGTTGTCTGCCTTGAGCATAAAAGGCTTTCAGCCACAATATTATAATACTACTTTTGTGACGTAACTATTGAAGTGGTTCAAAGTAGTATTATAAGTAGATCATGGTTCAAAAGAAATGACTGAAAAAATGAGTGGTATAGCATTCAGCCACCAACAGGATTCAACAGATGCAAAATATTCATAAGCACTACAAAAAATGATGACACAGAAAGAGAGATAGAAAGAGCAAGGACATAACATACAGCAGAAATCAAATTCTTGTTTTGTTATTAATCGTATCTTCAATAAGCTTTTTCCTTTGCGCAACAGTCTTCCAGTTTCTCCTGAAACCAAATTAACATACAATTAACATGCAAATTGCACATAATTACTACAAAACTAATTATGAATGTCAGCCGGTTGATGTAACTGCAAGTCATTATTTTTAGTAAAATACCAGTACCCTGATTCCACAAATTCATTAAAAAAATTTAAACAAATGAAAGGAAAAAAAAAAACAATCAAATAGTTAAAAGTCTTTGTACCTTAAGGTAAATGGTAATGAGATGACCAGGGAGTAAAACTTCTGATTTTGCAGAGAATCAGAGTTATCGGGCGCAGAAGTTTGATCAATAAGCGAGAAAAGTTCTGCACCATAAAGCTAAAGAGAAGAAGTTTATAGAAAGCAAAAAGATACAAAGAATATGGTCATGAAACAACAGAACATGACAAGACTATTCTAAAATATGAAGTTGAAACTAGGATGAAGAGAACCTCTATAACTTACATAAGCAGATTGAACTTGTCATCGTTGCTATTCAAGTGAACAAATATGAATTCCTCAGCACTGCACCAGCAACCTACATATAATAATAAAGATAACATTGAATAGGGCATCAAATGTCTCAGTATTCACACTAAAAGGTAACCTAAGAGAACCAACTAGCCACCCTTAGTTTAGAAGTCACAAAGCATCGAAGCACAAAATATCTCTGGAGCCTAAACGCAGGGTGAAGCGCACCTTTGTGAGTAAGGCGCATTTTATGCTAAAAGCATATTCAGACCCATTACCCACGTGAGATTTTTAAAACTAAGCTTACACCATAAAGGGAACATTTTATAGATAGAAAATACACTTACAGAAGAATAACTCTCAGTTTCCATTCCTCCATAACGGGTTGGAAGTGTTCCCCTATATTGACAACAAAAGATATAAATACAGATGATCAACAATGAAATGAAATGATAACCAGACAAGAATCATAGTAGGCACCAATATGCTGTAGGCACTGCTCTTGGTAAAAAGCGCCAATTGTTGAACTTCATTAAGAATAATCTTGGCTCTTTCACCAACAAGTTGAGTGCTGACAGCCCCCTTTACTTCACCTTTTCTCAGCATGGCAGCATGTCAATTTCGTATAAATTTCACGATCGTTAGTGTCAATGAGAGCCTAGTAAGAACAATCAGAATTAGAAAAGAAAAAAAGAAGCTAAGAAAAACATGTCAGAACAAATATTTTTAACGACTCGCTCGATAAGCACCCCTAACGATACGTATAGGGCAAGCATATAACTTTTACGAGCTTTAAAAAAACGAAATCAGAAGTATCAAGGACAAATCTTGCTGCTGCAAGAGAATGTATGCATAGAGGCAGTTACAACACCTTAAGTACAACGCCCACAGGAAGCATGTATTCCCTCCCTTGTATCCTGCAAAAGCATAAATTAAATCAAAATGCATGTAGCTTATTTCAGAACATAAAATCAAAAGCATCATTTTTCTATACTTCTGATCAGAATTTCTTACCAAAATCCAAGTCTTGCACTCCCATTATGAAGATAATATAACTTAACTGTTACCGAAGACAGATCATCTCTCACACACCTACAATGACGATTATAAGAGCATCCAAAAGCAAGTTCAATTAATTCGATTTGGTTAGTTCAGTTCGGTCAGTGTCCGAATTAACAGTTTAAACACCTCTAAACTTGAACGTAAAGAAGGTAATTATAATACTATATCAATATACAAAACAAGAACCTTATTACAACTGCTTTATCAGTATAACCCTCCCGACGATCGCGAAATGAACCCCGTACCAAGCTCATAGGCTGAGAACAAAATGCTGCCTCAGTAATGCAATATTTTAAGGGTGAAGTACACAAATAATCCTCCATAGGACGTGCTTTATTGACGTCCAGCTCACGTCAATTTTTTAACCCAAAAAAGTTGAAACAAATGAATAGTTAAATGATAATTTTGTAACTTTTATTAGTCTAAATACTCAACAAAACATCGTCCTATAGTCAGGAACCGTTTGTAACTTGTCAGCTAATTATGTAGAGAAAAGTAGAATTTGGAAGAGATTAAATTAGAAAGATTAGCTTAACTCATCAACCAAAGTAAAAGTGTTCTCCCTGTTAGTTAAAAAAAGAAACAAAAACTCACATAATTCCGTTTGGCAATATTAAGGCCCTGACAACTCTCTCGAGTCCATTCAGAACGAAGAAACTGCATTGCCATGAAAATTTATGAGGAAACGGAAAACCAATTAGACACAAAAAGGAAATATTGGATAGTGTGCAGTTTGCATGATTTATGTGTTTGAATCTATTTCCAAGTGTCCATTTTGGAATCTGAATTTCTTTTAATTAGTTATTTATTTATTGATTGTGTCTACTCTGAAATCTAAATTTATTTTAGTTAGTTATCATTTTACTGAAGATGCCTACCCTTAAATTTTATATGTGTTCAGCTTATATATAAACATCATATTGTTGATATACATATATTCATTCCAAAAATATTTTTGAATCCGTCGTCATTGAATATAGACTAACAAGAGCATAATAATAAAAAAACATGTAGAACACTAGTGGAATTACTAAACTGCAAAAAGTTGAGCAAAAGGGCAAGCAATCTTGAAATATATCATGTACAATTCCAAACAGGCAAAATAAGCACATGTAAATAATGTTAAAACTTGTAGGAATTTCGTGTGAAAATCAATCAAATTACTCACCCACCC